GGGGGGGGGTTGAGAGAGGACGAGAGAAGAAACGGAACAGAAATGAAGAATGCAGACACAATGACGGCCACAAAGAACTGAGAAAACATACGACAGAGAGAGGCATAAACAAGAGGGATAGTAAAGAAAGGAAGCCCTTGAGCAAAGAGGAAAAGAGAGGAACAGGAAGAGAGAGAGTGGAGGATACGGACAAACAAAAAGACATAGACAGACGAAAAACAGACAAACAGCTTTGTCTAAACGTTCATCAAAACATCAAAGGGGTTTACTGGGTCAACCCAGATCTTGAAAACGCAAACCACTCCAGTTATATTTGAGTGTGGAGAAAATGCTTATACAGCGGTCGGGAAAATGCAAGATGACAAACATATCCTCCTCTCCCCCACTCCCCTCCTCCTATGCCCCAAAGGAGTAGGCTAGAAAAAATAAAAGCTGTAACTAAGTTTACAAATACATATCCTACATGTACATTGCACTGCATCTTTTTGGAACATATCCCATGCACAACAATGATACATGCTGCTGTTTACTAGAAAGACATTTCTTACTAATTAACTTCGGTTGAATAGGGACCGCCAAATTTTTTTTAATTAAACAAAAGGGCGCATTCTCCAGTCTCATATACCATCGCCAAAAGAACGGAAATATTTAGACACAATTCACAACTTAACTGGTGGGCTCCTAGCCAGGAACGGAAGAACACAAAAGGATTGATGAGATGAGATGAGATGAGATGAGAGAGAGATTGAAAGGAAAGAAGGAGCAAACCACACCAGAGCACCCGCCAACCACCCACAGTGAGAGTTTTATGGCACTGGCAACACAATAAGGTCATATAAGTGCCGAAGATTAGAGTTGTTTCATGATACAAGGGAGTAGGCCTAACAAACACAAAACAGGAGGAGAGATAAGGACGATAGATGTTCGATAGGAAAGAAGAAGCAAACCACACCAGAGGAGGAAGAGGAGGGGAGAGGGGGAGGGAGAGAGACAGGGAGAGAGAGAAAGAGGGAGAGAGAGAGAGACCACTGCCCCTACATCATTCTGTGCTGTGTCCACGATGAGATGGGTCTGGCTGACAACGCATACGACACATACACACACAGGGCGACAGACAACGACAAGGATGCTACTATTGCTGCTGCTGCTGCTACTACTACTACTCCTGTAGCTGCTGCTGCTGTTAGCCTTTGTGCGAGCGCGTGACTAACTCTGTACACGCACCCCAAGAAGGAATGCCAACAATGCAAAGTACACGGTATGCATTATAGCGTAATGGATACGAGACAAATCAATACATTCGATGGATATGGTCGCCTAATGCAGGGGGGGAGGTGTGAGAGAGGGAGTGAGAGAATGGGAGAGAGGGAGGGGCAGAAG